TGGGGCAGTGGTACTGGATATCAGAATGTCTTTGTTCTTGAGCATATTAGTGAACACATGGAGGGTCATGCCAAGCACATCTCTGTCTGCATCACCCAGCAGCTCCAGAAGGCTTTGAGACAGGCTGCACATTCTTATGGCCTGTGTGGAAAACAAGGCTGTGATGAGAAGCCATGAACGGCCCTGGCACTGCAACCCCACTCTGCTGCCGCTGGGCCCAGAGGCCAAAGGGCTGTCCCAAAGCACTCAGGCAGGTGAGGCAGGAGAGCTGGGAGCAGCTGCCTCAGCTCCTGCAGCCCAGCCAGCACAAGGAGCTGCTTTCCCCAGCACAGCTTCAGCTGCTGCCCTGTCCTCACCATCGAGGGATCCTTGCTGAGCACCATGAGGCCTCTGAGCGCCAGGCGACGCCTCTGCCTGCACTCATTCTGCAGGTGCATTGACATGATCTCCAGGATGCTGTCACCACGTTCACGCAAGTCCAGGCAATCCAGGACCTGAAAGGCACAGGGCAGTGACAGGGGACCCAGCTGGCAGGAGCCTGGAACCACACAGGGCTGGGTCCAGGCAGCGGCACAGGGAGCAGGCACCGTCCCAGGCAGCTGTGGCTATGCAAGGGCAGAGAGCTGAGAGGCAGGTCAGTGAGGTAGTGCTGGCCATCAAGCTCACCTCCACAAGGAATGGCAGGAAGGGCAGATCCCAGCATGGCTCCTCCCTGCTGAGCAGCCGGAGCAGGCGGAGTGCAATCCCAGAACATAAGGATAGGGAGGCACCGTGCATCTCCCTGGAAGAGGGGAAAAAGGCACCAAGACCCTGAGGTGGGGAGGGCAAACCTCTCCTAGGAATGACTCACTGAGGTCTGGTCTTTCCTCAGCATCCCTGGAGGGACTGTGGGTACTTTGGGAGGTGGCTCCTTCTGGGCATCCTCTCCCGGCCTTTTCCAGTCTGCTCAGCCGTCTCTCAGTGACCCTCTGGCCCAGGACCACAGGGACTGTGGGGGACACCTCAGGCACCGGGCACAAAAGCTGGAGGTAGCGGGGAGAAGGGGGTCTCACCTGGCCAACAGACCCACGGCATAGTGCTGGGTGTCAGCACAGAGCAGCGTGTCCCAGCCACGCTTGCGCTCCATAGCCATCAACTCACTATCATAGTGCAAACAGCAGAGCAGAGCCTTCATGGCCTGCACTGCAAACCTGTGTGCAGAGCAAAGCCCAGGTCACACTGGGAAAACTGGCAGTGTCTACAAAGGCATGGGAAGGACAGGAGGACTGGCACCTGTTGGGGTTGCTGGGAAGGCGGTGTTCCTCCTGGCATGCTCTCCAGAAGATGTCAACTTCCACTGGTGGCATCTGCTGGGTGGTGATGACAACATGGAACAGCAGAGCCACAAACAGGCGGGCGGAATAAAGGATCATGGCCTCGTGGCACTCAGGCACTTGGATAATCACCCAGAGCACCAGAGTTGCCTGCAAAAGAAGCACCCAAAGACAGTGCTCAGTGCTGAGGTGTCCATGGGGCAGGGCCCAAGGGGAGACGCAGGGGGAGCAGCGGGCCCGGTGTCCCCTGAGCCTCCCCCTAGCCCAGGTTTCAGCCCAGCACTCGCAGAGGCAGGGAGAGGGTGGAGAGCTGCTGGAGAGGTGATCTGGGACTGAGCAAGGGCCCATAAACTCACAGCCAGGGAAAAAACAGTCTTGTTGTCCCCATCGGAGGTGCACATGCTGTGCAGAGGCCAATCCTCCATCACACAGAGCAGTATTGCCAGCACCTTCTTCATTGTTGGTCCCGACGAGGCGATAGTTCTCCACATCATTGCAGCAGCTCTGTGGGATCAGAGCTCTGTATCAGGGGTGTCTCAGTCATAGCACCATGACCTATGCAGCTGTGGGAGCCCAAGTGACAAAGCCCCAGTGCCCTGAGGGGCAGGGAGGGAACATTGGCAGCAGCCTGGAGAAACAGAGGGGCCCAAGGCTCCTGGACCTCTCTGCCTGTTGGGCAGAGCCCATTGGACAGGCTGTGCAGGGCAATGGGCCCTAAAGGCTGGTGAGCCCTGAGCTCTCAAGGCACGTGGGCCCCATACCTGTCACATGATGGGGCACAGCGCAGGAGGGTCAGCACCACATCAACAGGGTGTTTTTCAGCCAGCTTCAGAATGTTCGTGGCCAGCCTGGCACCCACAGTGACATGGGACGTGAGACTCTGGTGAATGTTTTTCACCATGACTGGCACCTGGAGGAGGCATGGGAAAGACTTGGAGCACTGTAAAAGGGATCAGCTTCCCGAGCTTCCCCCAAGAAGTGCTTCCCTTCCCACCACACTGTGCTGGCCTGAAAGGCTGAGGGGGCCCAGTGGCCATGGCTTGAGGGGGCACACAACCCTGGGAGGCCTCCAGCCCTAGCCCCAGGCTGGGTACCTGCTGAGAAGCAAATCCTCTCTCCTCAAAGAAATCTGTAGAGGGAGCATGAATAACTGTGGGAGTTGGCATGGTGTCAGTATTTGCGATGTCCTGAGCCACTCCAGTGTCGGCGTTTGTGGTGGCCACGTCCTCAATCACTTCTATGTCAGCCTTTGCCCTGTGATCATTCATTGCACTGTCAAAGTCTTCTGAGCACTCAGCCAAATCTGGGCTGGTTTCAGTCTTTGTCATGCCCTGAGTCTCTTCATTGACAGTGTCTGTGATGGCCACACCAGTGCTGGAGTTGGTGATGGCCATGTCCTCAGTCACTTCCACGTCAGTCCTTGGCCTGTGATCATTCATTGCACTGTCAGAGTCTTCTGAGTGCTCAGCCAAATCAGGGCTGGTTTCAGTCTTTGTCAGGCCCTGAGTCTCTCCACTGATAGTGTCTGTGATGGCCACATCCTCAGTCATTGACATGAGAAAAGCCTCTTCCCAGTTTTCAGTCACTGCGGTGTCAAACTTTTCTGAGAGCTCAGATGAATCTGGGCTGACATCAGGCTCTGCCTGGAGCTCGGTCAGCCCAGAGTCAGGCTTGGCTGTGCTCTCAGTTGCTGTGGTACTGCTCTTTCTGCGCTGAATGGGCACAAACTTCCGGAACATCTGCAGGAGAACAAAGAGAAGCTAGGCATGTTCCATGGAGTGCTAAAAGCGGAACATCTGCAGGAGAACAAAGAGAAGCTAGGCATGTTCCATGGAGTGCTAAAAGTGCAGTTCTCAGCTGAGCAGTGACAGCAGGCCCAGCCCAGGTGGGGATGGCTGCAGGTACCTTCAGCGTTCTGCGGAAGCGGCCAAGGGAGGGGTCCTGCTCTTGGGTCCGGTCCATGGCTGCATCTGGCAAAGAGCGAGTGCAGCCAGAGCTGAGGGGCTGTGGGAGAGGCTGGAGAACACAGCCCAGCCGTGCACTCCCCAGGCAGGGACAGCCCTGGGATGCGCCAGGGGATGGAGCAGGGCTGCTGTGGGGGGTGGGGCAGCCCTGGCCCCTCTTCCATTCTGTCTGTGGGCATGTCCAAAGCAGGTGGGATGGGATGGGGCCAAGCTGGCTGCAGCCATCAGCCCTGTGGCCCAGCTCTGCCACTCACCATCCTGCAGTGGCTGGAACTGCTCCGGCTCTTCAGGCTGTTGCGCTGGAGCAGCTCCAGTGTCCTTCTTCCTTTTCCCCCTGACCACTTTGAATAGGCTGAGGAATCTGCCTGCCATGCTAGAGTCTGGCCTTGAGGGCACCTTAAAGAGAGATGCCTTGGGAAAACTCTGGGTCAACAAATCCTGCAGTTGTGCCTTGAAGACACCTGCGGTAGAGATGCTGCAGGAAGACTGCAGGACAGCAAGTCCTGCAGTCTGGTCTTGAGGGCTCCTGCCACAATGACAGGAGACTCCTCTTAAATGATTCTGGTCACCGAGTCCCACAGTCTCACCTTGAGGGCACAGGCCAGAAGGATGGCAGATGCCTCAGGAAAGCTCTGGGTTACCAAGTCCAACAGTCCGGCCTTGCAGACACCTGCAAAAGAAAAGCCTCGGGAAGGCCACGGCCACCGAGTCTCGCAGTCTTTCCACAAGGTCACCTGTAGGAGTAAAGCCTCGGAAAAGCTCCAGGTCAGACACAAATGAGTGCGCTGTGTGGGGGCTCCTCACAGCACCACTCTGGCGCGTCCTGTCCTGTCGCATGCACCGAGCACTGTGGTGTGGCCCTGTCACCGCCAGCTCCTATGTCACCATGTGTCACAAAGGGCCCTCTGACACCCTGTCCATTTCCATCCCATGGTGACCGTGCTGCGCCGTGTCACAAAGGGCCCTTGCACACACTGCCCTCTGCCCTGGAGCAGCCCCCATCCCCCCCTAAGTGGCCCAGGTTGGAAGGAATCCCTTGCCCAAAGTGTCTAAGACAGCCCAACAGGATTTTTGGAACACCTCAAACCATCAGCAAACGCTGCCCAGCTCTGCAGGCTCAGGGCAGCAGAAGGAGCCCCCAGGGCTGCCGATGCAGCCACAGATGGAAGGGTAGAAGCTGGTACGGCCTTCTTGGGACACGTCCTGTCTGGTGACCATTCTAAACTTGCAGGTGTGACACAGACAAGGAACGTGTGGGCCAGGGCACCAATGCTGCTCTGAGCCCTGGGGCCCAGCCAGCACTGAAATCAGCAGGTGTGGCAGAGTCCCCACCGAGGCAGACCTGCCACCCCACCCGAGCCCTGGCAGTGCTGGTGCCCATCTCCTGCCCCAGAGACCTGTGCCCCTGAGGGGCTTCTGTGCCAGAGGGCAGCCAAAGCCCATGTGCATTGGGGGCTGGGCTCCTTCCTGCAGGAAGCTCCTGGAGCTACTGCTGGCCACTTGCTATCTGTCAGATGATGTTGCTCCTTCCTGGAATGAGGTTTTCCATGGAAGGGGTTTGCAGTAGCACAAAAACACCATCAGCTGCTGAGTTTCCTAGGATGGTTTGATTGTACGGAGGCACTGTCACATTTCAGTCTGATCTTCGGTCTGTTTTTCTGGGAGAAACATTAGCCCACTCTCTGATGTTCAAGGCTTCAGTTGCTGCCTGTCTGTCTGTGTGCAGCTGGTACAAGGCAGACATTTTCCCCAGACACAAAAAGTCCTGCCTGGACAATCACAGAGCTACATCTATTTTTAATTTTAACTTTTTAAAATTTTTCCAGAGCCTGCTGGCTGTGTTCAAGGTTTTCTCCCAATTTTCTCCCAGGTGCACATTCTCCAGAAATTGTGCTTTTACATCCTTTTGCATTTATTAAATTTACCTGCAATGACCAGTCAATCAAAACCCTGGGAAAACATGAACTTCAGGTTGAACCCAGGCAAAATATTTATCTCCCACATCTGAAGCCATGAACTGCCAAGTACTGTCCCTGCTGTCACACCCTGTCTCCTGTAAGTGTGCTGATGCCATTTCAAAGGGGTTGCAAATGAGAAGTTTTAATATTTTTGTAGTTTCCGCATTGGCATTAAAATCCTTGATTAGAAAAATCACATGTCAAAATTTCTAGGATTCTTCCATACCAAAGCTGTCATTTTCACCCTGGATTTTAGAGTGTCTGAACAGTCACACAAGGTTTTAGTATTAGACATTAAAGAAAAAATCTTTGCTGTTTGGCTATATCTTTACATCAGCATGTAGTCCTGATGATTCCTTTAGGCAGGAGCAGCGAACACAAGAATGAGCCAAACAAGCTATTCCTGTGTTCTCATGTCCTGCACAGCAGTAACTGGGAATTCAAGAATGGATTCAGGAGGCAATGGGTGCACAGGGAACCACAAAGACTTGGGGATGCTGAAATGGACCAGCCTGGTGCCTGTGCCCAGGCTGCACCAGGCTGAGTCCAACTGGACGATCTAACAATGGTTGAATGGACACACCATGGGCCACTGGAGACTCCTGCTCCTAATTCTGTGAGCTACAATATTCATTTGTGATTCACCAGATGATTTTTTCATCTTTGCTTGAAATCCAGGAGAAGAAAAGGTCAACATGGAGAAGTGTTCTTCCAGTTCTAGTGACAGTTGTGTCTGCACACCACCTGTGCCCATGGCAGGGTGGTTGGAACTGGATGATGTTTATGATACTTTGCAACACAAAGTGCTCTGGAATTCTGTGGTTCCCCAAGTGGAGAGCAAAACTGAGCTGTGTAAGTCCCTGCTTTTTTTCAGCACATGCTGCTTCTTCCATTGTTCTAAGCAAGTCCAGGGTTTAGTTTCAGAGCTGATGCATCTGTCATTAAGATGCCTTCACAGAAGAGAGGGAGGGCAGGTGTAGCACAAGGCTCGAACCCCATCAGTGTCTCTCTCTCACGATGGCACCAATGCCGCTGCCTTGGGACACCTGAGTGTGGAAGGGGAGCCCGCCCTCAAGCACGGCCATCCAAGTCAGTCACGGGCACAGGCTGCAGCTGAAGCTGCCCAGTGTTGCTGTGAGGCTGCAAGTGAAGAGAAAGCCATTGTGGCCAACTCTGCTGAAGCCTTTTGCCAAGCCAAAGGCAGCTGTGCCCACAGCCTCCCCATTTGGCACCCGGCTGCTGCGGACACCTCACTGTGCAGGTGCCGACGTTCGGGGTGCTGCTGTTCC